CAGCACCAGTACAAGGTTAACTTGGAGAAATGCGAGTTCGGTCGCACCAAGATCTTGTACTTGGGTCATGAAATCTCAGCGGATGGATTGAGGCCGGATGATGCTAAGGTGGCCAACATACGTGACTGGCCCAGACCTCAGACTGTTCCTGAGGTCAGATCGTTTTTGGGGATGACGGGCTACTATCGTCCGTTTGTAAAGAACTATACTACTATAGCTTCCCCACTAAAAGATCTAACTCGACCTGACACCCCCTGGGAGTGGACTGAAGAGTGTGAGGCGGCCTTCAAGAAATGCCATGACACACTATGAGGTTCTTAAACTTCCGGATCCTGATAAGCCATTTGTAGTGACCACAGACGCTAGCCAATATGGCATAGGCGCGATCCTTGCGCAAAAGGAGGGGCCCAAGTTGATACCTATCGAGTACATGAGCAAAAAGATGTCGTCTCAGAAGCTAGCCAGGTCTACCTACGAGCGTGAGCTCTACGCCCTTTACCGAGCGCTGGTCCACTACAGACACTATCTCCTTGGCAGATTTTTCTATGTGAGATCTGACCATGAGACACTGCGTTGGATCAAAACACAACCGGTACTCTCTGACGCACTTAAGCGATGGATTCAAGTGATAGACATGTATGACTATCAACTTGATCCAATCAAGGGAGAGTACAACAAGGTAGCTGATGCACTTTCACGTCGGGCAGATTACCTGGGCTCGCTAGTGACTGAATTCGGCATATCTAATGATCTAACTCGATCTTCGGTGGAGGCCTACCAGCAAGATGCAGTTATGTCTGAGATCATCCGTAAGCTCAAAGAGAAGGATAAGGTAACTTCTGACGAATTTACGATGGTAGATGGCTTGCTGTTTCTTGAAAAAGGCAGGGAATAAAAGACTATGTGTTCCCAACAGTGAGTCTTTGCGTACTTCATTTTTAGGGGAATGTCACGATGCAACTGGTCATTTCGGTTATAGGAAAACTGCAGCTAACTTAATACAAAAATTCTGGTGACCTTCTATGATGGAAGATACCAAGAAGTATGTTGAAAACTGTCAGGTCTGTCAACGTGACAAACCTAGAACTCTGGCTCCGCTTGGGCTCATCAAGCCCTTGCCGATTCTTGAAGGTCCTGGTCAGAGTGTCTCCATGGACTCCATGGATACTCTTGTGACCAGCAGGTCTGGGAAAAGACACATCTTCGTTATAGTAGACCGCTTTTCTAAGTATGCAAGACTGATCGCTATGCCTGAGACTGCTAAAACCGACTATGTCATCAGTCTATCATCAGCGATAGGGATGTTAGCTTTACGAGCGAACTGTGGCAGAACACTGCCCAACAGATGGGAACCAGACTGACACGAGGGAATCACCCTGAGTCAAATGGACAGGCGGAACAGATGAACAGAGTAGTGCAACATCTACTAAGGCACTACGTTAAGCCAAACCAGGATGACTCGGACGAGAAACTACTTCTCGTCGCTAGCCCATACAACAACGCAGTACATAGTACTACTGGCATGACTCCCAACCAAATGCATCTTGGTTGGAAGCCCCGTTCCGGCCTTGATTTCCTACTACCTGAAAAATAAGCTACTGCAGCACCCGGTAGCATAGGATTTGCTGTCACATATGAACAGATGTTGCAGCAGGCCGTTGAGCACATGAGGAAATCTCAGGATGCTATGATTGCATCTGAGAATAAACACAGAGGGCCTTCTAACTTTCAAGTAGGGGAAAGGGTCTGGGTAAAGTCATCTGAACTCGGACAGGAAATGGGAATATCTAGGAAACTGATGCCACAATATTTCGGTCCCTGGGAGGTCCTGGACATAGTGGGTGAACAGGTGGATGGACCTTCTTATGTGATTCGCGTCCCATCTCATCTAGGGACACACCCTGTTTTTCACGCATCCAAGCTGGCACCTTTCGCAGAAACTGCACATCTTCCCTCCAGACGGTCAAATCGTGGAGCATCGTCTGATGCCTGTTCCTCGACCACCAGGCAGAGGCCGCCCTCCTAAGCCAAAAGTGCAATACTGGGTCAGATTCAGACATCATCTGGGTCCCAGAGAAGATCGGTGGTTCACCAGAGAAGAACTCATGAGATCTGCACCTCAAGTCATTGCAGGCTACGAAAGAGATCTCAAAGGGAAGATGACTGCAGAATAGAAGACTTCTCAGAGGACTATCGAAGTACAGGAGGAGCGAATGCGAGGATCTGGGTCCTCGGCAGGCCTAAGCGCCCCTTGTAACATCTGTGCCCGCCCTAAGTGAAGGTGGGCCTAACAAATTACGAGAGGCCCTCGGCTGTCAATTTCGTATTTGGGGTCCAACCGTCCAGGCAGTTTCGTCGCGCCAGTTCGTTGAGGAAAACACAGGCCAAGCAGCGAGACCTTCGACGGCCTTCCAGGCCTTTCCTAAATGATGCAGGCCCTGGACGAGAATGGCAGCCTCATACACAGACAGTTGGGAGGCCCAACCGAATGAGGCCCAGTAGCTGCAAGAGAGGCGCAGCATCCTGGGGCCTACCGGAAGCTTCTGGGCCCAGGCCAGTCCAGCCAGGCTGTCGAATGAGGCAGGCTCTTTCCATATAGGAAAGAGCTCGCTGCCTGGCCAGGCATTCGGGCACTCGCATGCTGGCGGCAGCGCTGCTGGAGCTGAAGCTCGTGGGCTGCTGCTAGCGCTGAGAGGCGAGGTGCAAGCACGTGCTGTCGTGCAAGGAGGAGGGCGCTGCGTGAGGGCAGCGCCATAGCCCAGCCTCCATAGCTGTCGGGCTTGGATGTACAGTGAGGCGCAGGGGTGGTCTTCAGGTGTACAACAAGGGAAGACGTGCGAGAGAGTCAAGGGAGAGAGAGAAGGATGATGATGATGATGACGTGAGGGCACATACCTGGTATTGGCGATGGTTCTGCATGGGCGACATCTTCAAGTACTTCGGAGGCTGCTGACGTCAACAGGTGCATTGTCAATTAGTAGGCTAGTAGTAGCTGTGTAGGAAGTAGGCTGGGCGCCGAGCGCCAAGTAGGGAGATAGGGACTGGATACATATGTTGGTGGTGGCGAGAGCAAGCTCTCATTGACATTGGCTTTCAGTGCTACTATTCTTCATTGGTGTCATATTGGTGCAATGCTACTTTCTGAACACTGTGATACGATCTGGCTTTCAATGTGATTGTGCAATCTGAATATTGTCATCTTGCTATTGCTCACTTTCCTTGCAAAAGAAAGAAAACAACAAAAAAAACAATATGAAATGGGTGGGTTTTCCTTCTTTTTACAGAGATTTTTTTTTCGGGCAACAAATTAACAAAATAAATAATAAATTAATAATAAATATATTTTAGAGATCTGCAACACCATATTTTTTATTTTATTTTTTTTAAGTTCATATATATTTAAGAAAAGGGAAAATTTCAAATTTGTCTGGCGCCCCTGTAATTTGTGTTATTTCGCGCTGCGCCCCTCTGACGGCCGATTTACCCTGCAGCGCCCCTCTGAGCAGAGTTCAAATTTTCCATAAGACCCCGGTGTCGTTTGGGCCTCAAATCTTTTTGTTACGCCCCTACTGGTACCCGTCCCAAATTTGCGGGATGCCCCTACCGAATGGCCGTTAAAAGCCAGCGGGAAATTTTTTGAGATGCCCCTACTGGTACCATTTGTTGCCAAGCCATTTACTGCTATGCCATCTGCTGCCACATCATCTTCTGCTACGTCCTCTTATGCCACGTCATCTAAGTCGTCCACAACTGCCACATCTTCTACTGCTTTCCAAGATGCAGGGGCAGCTCCCTCTTCCGACAAACAAAAGGATGTTAGTGGTGGACAGTCTGAGTCAACAACGAGGGCAACGGCGACCTCGATGAGTGCAAAGGCGGGAAAGAAGAAGTCTGGGACGAAAATCAGGGGGCGAGAGAGAG